GATGAACTCCAGGTTGATGGGCTTGTCGGCCACCAGGACGATGCGGGACACGGACATCACCTCCACGCCACGAGGGTCCGGACGCACCTCAAACGCCTGGATGATCTGTGGGGAGAAGGGGGGTGGCAGTGCCTTGGGGAGTCCCTGGGGCTCCAATCCCAGCTCGTGGTGAGTTACCTGGGGTGGGGGGGTCCCTACTTACCCTGGCGAGGGCCAGATGCATCTCTAACTCGGCGATGCGGCGGCCGACACAGGCACGGAACCCGTAGCCAAAGGGGATGGAGCTGAAGGGGTGGTGGGGGGAGCCGTGGCCCCGGAGCCAGCGCTGGGGCAGGAAACGCTCAGGCTCAGGGAAGTAGGTCTCATCGTGGGACATTGCGTAGTGTGCCAGGACAAAGAGGGTCTGGGGGGAAGGAAGCCAGGGGTGGGGGTTAGTGGCTGCTGCCGGCCCCACTGAGCGCAGTGGGGATCCCCATGGCACAGCCCTCACTCACGTTCTTGGGGAAGAGGTAGTCTCCGATGACAATGTCCTTCTCATAGAAGACCCTGGCGTTGGTGGGCACCACAGGATAGACCCTGGGATATGGGGAGAGTTAGTGAGGAAACAGGAGCCATCTGGGGACACCAGAGGAAGAAATTCACAGGCAGGACAAGGGAGAGCATCTCCTGCTGTTCAGCAGCTCCATCCCATTCCCCAGGAAGGAGGTGGATGGACGTGGCCCTGAGGGACTGAAATCCAGCCCTGCACCCTGCCTGGCTGGTTCATCCCCCGGTGGGAGGGAGAAGGGACTGTCCCTGGGGAAGGGGCTGGTGATTTGGACGCTGGGGCAGGGGCAAAGCTGGACTGTACCTCAGTGTCTCCTTGATGACGGCCCGAAGCATCGGCATCTTGGGGATATCCTCAGCACCAGGAAACCGGTCGGCAGGCACGACAGCTTTCAGCTCCTGGTACAGGGCCTCCTGGATGGCCGGGTCCCGGGAGAGGTGGTACAGGGCCCAGGACAGAGTGTTGGAGGTCTGGGGGAGCAGAGCGCCGAGGGGAGTGAGGGAGATGGGGCTGGTACCTGAGCAGCCTTGTGCCAAGCGTGGCACCAGTACGGCACCAGAGAGCCCCTGCTCCGGTGCGCAAGGAAGCCGGGATGAGGGGCAGCGAGCACGGGGCAAAGTGAGGCAAGGAGCAGGGCAGGGAGCAGAGTGGAGGACAGGGTCTGTACCGACCGATCCCTGAGGGTTTGCCCCTGTGGGTCATCAGCTCCCCCAACCACCAGCCCAGAGCTTGCAGGGGCGGGCGAGCGTGGCTG